ATAAGTTTATGAATGATTCCTTTCAAATTTAGGAAGACGTGTAGGGTGCAGCAAATACATTTAAAATTGAGGGGATTTGTTTTTCAAAAAGTTATCAAACAGTAGAACAACAAATTATTTCATTAAATGTTCAAATCGCTGACCTTTAATATTCCAAAAATAAGCAAGTCGATCTTGAAAGTCTCGTAGCACTTTAGTTAAGGTTTGTGACAGGGTTTGTTGTATTTCAACTCTACTTTTGTTCTTCAGTTCTTCAATATTTTCCGATTTATTCAAGTAGACTTTAGATTTCAGATAACCCCATAGATAAAAATCCAGTGGAATCAGGTCTGGACACCTAGGTTTTATTTAACAACGCCTCTTTTTCCGATTCATCTATTTGGAAAAATATTGTTAAGGTAATATCATACTACTGGCGGAAATTTGGGGGGGGGGGTTCCATCTTGTTGGAACCATACCGAATCTGCTCGTATGTTTGGGTTCTTAGCATTTAAGTAAAGCGCAGTTAATCTGGGTATTATGCAATGTTGTAGGTGGTCTATGTATACGAAACAGAAAATACTACAAATGGCGTGGTGAGCGCCATCTGTAGTACGATGCTACATTTGAGGATTACATATGCTCCAACAAGGTCCATTTAAAAATATGGATATCTACTTGCTGAAACGAATCCCGGCGTAGCTCACCTCAACGTGATAGGCACGTTACCATAATCGAACAAAATAATTCGAAGTGGTCTGTGTTCCGTCGAAACTGCCAGACGCGGATCGCGATTTCGATCTTTTTGGATCTCATCAGCGCGTCGCAGATCCAAAAAGATCGAAATCGCGATCCGCGTCTGGCAGTTTCGACGGAACAGAGACCACTTCGAATTATTTTGTTCTATACGAAACATAGTTAAAATTCGATGCAGAATTCAAAAATGAAATAATAATACCATGAAAAAACCCGCAACCAAAAATAATGATCCAATATAGGTATAAGTACTAAGTAGGGAGATAATATGTAAGTGTTTCAAAAATTAATGATTTTTTTTGTTAATAGCTATATCTGTAATTCATTTAATGTGTTCAAGTGGGGAACAAATTTTCACCAGTAACAAGTAATGAGCTTTTCTTGTCCGCCTAAAACGTTGTGTCTACATTTCCAAACGAAACAACTGTAGTCACAACAAGCTTTTAAAATTTGGGCGGCTTTCTCGAAATCTTTTGGAACAAAGTAATTTTTTCTCGTTGATTATCTAATCGTAGGATTGTTTTGACATAGACCGTTTTGCTAACGATGCATTAAAACTGTTGATGATAAAACTACATCAGCGTATGAAATATTCAACAAAATCTTTTGACGAAACTTCTTGGCTGAAGCAAGAGAGAAAATGAGACATTAGAGTAAGATGCATTATTCATGAAATGTTATTACAGCCTCCCATGTGTCATTTGCCTAAGAATGTTCGTTAATAGTTAAGCAAGAAAATATGTACACCTAGTGGCAGGTCATGATTAAACATGAGAAAATTAATTAGTTTGAAGCAAAAACGGAAATTGGGGAGGATATACATATAAACAGTACTGGACCAGAAGTCTAGATACTTTTCAGGTTTTCGTTAAACTTATGAGGTAATGGCAACTTATTGTTAACAATTTATTTTAAAAAATCGGTTGTCTGTAAAGTCGGTTTACTGACGATAGTTGAACGTGATAACGTCATAAGAAAATACTGATGGAATGGTTTGACACCACATTCACTTTTCACTGCACTTCATATTTGACGAAAACATGTAAATGTATTATTGTATAGCAGCTGTCCACGCGGACGCTTCGCTCACTCAAGTAGGAGAGAGACAGATGTCGAACGCTGCCGAACGCGGAGGCCGATTGTGCCTCTTTGTCGCTCGTTCCGCGCTCTCGCTTGCACTTCAAGCCTTAAATGGAACGCCTCAGAGCGAGGTAACGACGCATGAGTAATGTTTTTTCGTGCGTGCAGCCGGCTCCATCGAATTATAAGACGTTGTCACGTCAAAAATAATAAACATTATTTTCATATGAAATAAAAATAAAAATTGCTGTGAATTAGTAAGATGCGATCACCAGAGTAATATTTTATTTTGTAGTCCGGCCCTGAGTAGCAGCCACCTACCGAAAACTGCGTCGGTGGATCGTTACACACTATCAAAATTCTATGATATGTCCCTTATTTTTTGCTGACAAAGGTAGAATAGGGCGTGGGGGTTTTCATCAAACTTTTCGTTAAAGAAGTATTAAACAGCTTTTACCGGAGTTTAAGTGGAGTTATTTTCATCTCCGTTCACTTTTCTGCTTTCGTGATCAAAGTTACTGTGTACCTAAGTAAGCATAGCAAATGCGTTGTCATGTTCTATTCTGGCCTGCAAGGATTCAGAAAGTGGGCTTTATGCGAAAGAGGTTATATAGTTTAGTGGAAATTGGGATTAAATGAAAATAAAGACGTCTGGCACTTCTACTAGAAAGAAATAATATTATGATAGTGCACACTGCTTGGACACCTCCACTCTTTCCTATCCTGAGTTAATCTTTGCATTTACCCAAAACTAGAACAATCCTCATTTTTAACTATTTGCGAACACTAATCCCTTTCTAGGTCAACCTCTATTCCTTTTAACTCCTGTTTCTGCCTCTAATACGTCTCCGACTAGGCCTTTATGCCTGAGAAGTTGTTCTACCAACCTATCTGGCCTATTTGTTATTGACTTCCATAGAGTCCTCTGCTATCCTATTCATTCCAATACCTCTTGATTTTTAATCTTTTCTATCCACGGTATCCTCATCATTCGCCTGTAATACCACATTTTGAACACTTCTGACCTTTTCTTTTCCGCCATGCTCACCGTCCATGCTTCGCACCTGTACAGCGCCGCGTTCCAAACATACAATTTTATCAAACTTTTTTAAATCTTTAAATTAACCATTCGCGAGCATAGAACCGACTTCTTTTAGCTGAAGGCGATTCGACCCTGCGCAATCCTCTGTTTTATATCCCTACTACTCCTTACGTCCTGACTTCAAGATACTTAAACTCAGCCACTTCTACTAATTTCTCGTCTCCTATCTTTATATTCGCTCTTTCCCTACTTTTTCTTTCCTTGCATAAGAGAATTTTTGTTTTACTTTTATTTATATTCATACAATACTGTTTTGTCAATACCGCTTCAATTTTATTTAAAGATATCTCTAACTCCTCCTTGATAGATGCTAATACTGCTATATTATCTGCAAATCTAAGCATATTAATCTTTTGCTTCTGTATATCTATCCTTATAGTTGACTGTTTGTGCGAATCCCTGTCTGACTCTCTTCGTAATATTTACATTTCTACATTGCAGCCCCATCTCTGTAACTGCCTATCTTTGTAACTCATCCCTACATTTTTAAGTATATTTAACATCTTGTCGCATGTAACATTGTAGATTGATGCGACGTAGACGTGGGTTTGAAACCCCCTGCGTCCTCGTCGTCGGGCAAAAACAACCCTTAGAGCCCCTTCGCAGAACAACAAGCGAACCAAGTCGCAATTTTCGAGGCAATTTTTAAAGCACAAGGACAGGTATAAAGTAAAGTCGTTAGCTCAAAGGAAATTAAAAGTCGAATACGCACGACTATTTGTTTAACTTACCATGTGGGATTGTTTCGATCTCAAGTCGCGAGTGGGTGACTGTGCTCTTTTTCCGAGGGGGCAAAAACCTGATAAATGTCGTCTATTAGGGGGAGAGAACGTTCACCCTCGCCAAACGCTCGACTTAAGGAGCACAGCGCGCAATAAAATACAAAATAAAACGACCAGATTTTATTCTGTCGTTATTTCGGAACAAAAATAGCATAATATGCGTTAAGATGGAAAATACAGGCCCAATTGCACCGCGCATTAAGCCATTTACGATACCCTAACTTACAAATGAATCCTTCATATTAAAATATCCAACTGTTTCGTTGGAATAGCATACCTAGACATATCTAGACTTAATGTAAAAACTAATTACACATATCTTTTTGCNTCAGACGGATTTTAATCTTCAAAATGATAAAAATATGGAAATTATAAAATTAAAATTGTCTTGAAACTCTGTTTTTGCAAAAAAATCAAAGAAATACTTCAGTTGGCAAAAAATATCAGTAGATGGCGATATGTGTAGTGTTATAATAGATACTAACTTCAGTTTAATTTTGCCGGTTTTGGATTATAAAGTCCAAATTTTAAATCTTTTACTTTATATATTTATTATTGGAACATTAAATCTACTAAACCATATACCTATCACAAGGAAGAGAATGATATCCTTATTCTTTTCGGCTATTCGTGTAGACGGATAGACATCTTTTCCAATCACATCGAAAACTTAAAATTAAATAATGTAACATTTTAAAAATCCAGTTTTTTTTAAGAATTTAAAATTTTTTTGGATTGAAAAGGACCCCAAACATTTTTCGGGTCGAAACGTCTCCTGTTCTTCAGATACATATATTATTGAACGGAATAATCGTTTGATTTCTTAAACCAATTTACAATTTTTCCATTGAAGAAAATTTCAACACTTTATCAGTTTGCACAGTGTCTCTTTCTTTTATTACTATACTATAATTGTTATACCAATTTCTTCATGAATTATGAATAAGTTACACTCGCCTTGACGAGTCTCATATAATACGATTTTTAAAAAACTAAATATAATGTACATAATTCAATTAAGACATTAATAAAAAAAGTACAGAAGTTTTTATTGGGGTAGTTTACGATTTCTTTGTTCGTCACGTAATCAATATTCTCTAGGGAAATTTGAGCTTTTTCGAACTATATTCACAACCTTCTGCTTGCAAAAAGTGATTTAAAACTAAAAGGGGGAGGGGGTCTTCGTCTGGCTGCAACCAGAATTCGACCACTGCAGAAATGCCCAGCTCTTCATCATCAATTAGGCAATGGCCTACAAAACTACTGTAGGAAGTATCTAACTTTTAACGAGAGTTCCCACCAAGAATTAAAGTACGTAAGTACGTATATTAACGAATGTTTTAGAATTTTGTACATTTACTTATTTATTTGATAAGTATAAGCAGAAAAAGTAGTGAAATTTAGAATTTCATTTCTTTCAATGCTTCCCAGAACTTTAGTCGATCGTTTTCTGGGATAACGCTTAGCGATTTCAACTCGTTTCCGATATCCAAACAATTCGGTGCTTCTTTATTATGAACAGGCTCCCAATTTATTAATTCGTCATCTTTAACAGGAGTAGGGTTCGATGTTTTCGCAAAATTTGTGAACAGCTTCACCATTCTACGAATACAACGGTCTTCGATGCTTCCAGGAGGAACATCCGGATTCAGGGACGTTTTGAAAATGTAAGGTAGCTCATCACCGTGACTAACACCTGCAACGCAATATTTCTAAAATCAACGCAATAAAAAGTAAGAACATTCAATTGTTGCATAGCAATTTACATAGTCTAAATACATATTTATAGATGGTAAAATATATTGCAAAATATTACGATTTCAATGTCTGTAGTGACAAGTAGAAAGGAGTAGTAGGGATATAAAGCAGAGGATGGCGAAGGGTCGAGTAGCCTTCAATAAAAAGAAGTCACTTCTATACTCGCGAACGAATAATTTAGAATTTCGAAAAAGATTGTTAAAGGTGTCTGTATGGAGCGCGGCGATGTACGGGTGCGAAACAAGAAAAGGTTAGAAGCGTTCGAAATGTGGTGTTACCGGCGAATGATGAGGATACCGTGGATAGAGAAGGTTAGAAATGAAGAGGTATTAGAAGGAATAGGAGAAGAACTTCTATGGTAGTCAATAAAAAAATAGGCGAGATAGGTTGGTAGGACACCATCTCAAGCATGAAGGCCTAGTCAGAGACATATTAGAGGCGGAAGCATGAGTTAAGTGGAGTAGAGGTAAACCTATATTGGATTACTGTTCGCAAATAGTTAAGGATGTGGGATGTTCTAGTTTTAGGGAAATGCGAAGACTGGATCAGGATAGGAAAGAGTGGAGGTGCGTGTCCAATTAGTCTTAGGACTGACGACTTTATGATGACGATGAGGAACGAGTCAGGTGTAAGTGTCTATCGACATTGATAATACAAAAAGAATCCACATCATGCTAAGATATCAGCTACATGCTATTTAGGGTTTATTATAATAAGTTTTTAAAACGGTATTTATACATTTGTACACAGTAAATATTGCGTGTTTCGGTAATCTTACCTGATACAGTCGATTTTACTAACTCCTTGAAGCAGTTCAGTTTTGTTTCTGCGGAAAATCTGTACAAATAGACGGGTTGAGACGGAGCACTTGTCTTTAATAATTTCGTCACCAGATAAACGTCTTTCGTAATTGCCACGTCAGATGAAAGCTAAAAAACACAATAACGCATAAACATTATAATTTGAACACTTTGAGCAGTATNTTAGAATTTCATTTCTTTCAATGTTTCCCAGAACTTTAGTCGATCGTTCTCTGGGATAACGTTTAGCGATTTCAACTCGTTTCCGATTTCCAAACAATTTGGTGCTTCTTTATTATGAACAGGCTCCCAATTGATTAATTCGTCATCTTCAACAGGAGTAGGGTTCGATGTTTTCGCAAAATTTGTGAACAGCTTCACCATTCTACGAATACAACGGTCTTCGATGCTTCCAGGAGGAATATCCGGATTCAGGGACGTTTTGAAAATGTAAGGTAGCTCATCACCGTGACTAACACCTGCAACGCAATATTTCTAAAACCAACGCAATAAAAAGGAAGAACATTCAATCGTTGCATAGCAATTTACATAGTCTAAATACATATTTAAAGATGGTAAAATACATTGCAAAATATTATCATTTTAATGTCTGTAGGAACAACGAAAGAATACTTAGAAAACCTATACGCAGGCCATGAGTTAAGACATATATATTAGAAAAGGAAGACGGTGTAGAGATAGATGAACTAGGCTATCCCATAATGAAGGAAGAGTTCGATATAGCATTAAGAAACTTAAAGAATAATAAGGCACCAGGTATACATGGGATACAGGCGGAAAATTTAAAACATGTAAGACAAGAGGTTAGAGAGCGTATGTTTAAGCTAGTTAATCTCATTTACGAGACGGGAAAAGTCCCGGAGAAATATAAACAGAATGTGGTAGTATCCATACCTAAAAAGAGAGGCGCGGATAGCTGCGAGACATTTAGCACAATTGGCTTAACTTCCCTTGGTTCAAAAATCTTAACTAGAATTGTACAGAGGAGAATGGGAAAAAGGGCGGAAGAACTATTAGGGGAAGATCAATTTGGGTTTAGAAGAAATAGAGGAAAGAGGGTAGCTTTACGGGTAGCAATAGAGAAAACGACAGAGAAAAGGAAGAGCGCGAGCATGGGATTCGTAGATTTAGAAAAAGCTTTTGACAATGTTAAATGGGACAAGATGTTAAATATACTTAAAAATGTATGGATGAGTTACAGAGATATATAAGAGTGATACTTAGTTTGTATAAAGAGCAACAGGCAGTTATAGAGTTGGAGGAGCAACGTGGAGAAGTAAGAATATACACACTGTCACCTCAACTTTTTAATCTGTACATTGAAGACGCTATCAACATCATTAAAGGCAGTAGAACTGCGGAGATAGATATACAGAAGCAAAAGATAAATATGCTTATATTTGCAGAGGATATAGCAGTATTAGCATCTAGCAAGGACGAGTTAGAGATAGCTTTACATTAAATTGAAGCGGTATTGACAAAACAGTTTTGTATGAAAATAAATAAATGTAAAACAAAAATACTAGTATGCAGGGGAAGCAAAGGTAGGAATATAAAGATAGGAGACGAATAATTATAAGAAATGGCTGATTTTAGGTATCTAGGAAGTCAGATAAGTCAGGACGGAAGGAGTAGCAGGGATATACGCAGAGGATAGTGCAGGATCGAGTCACCTTCAATAAAAGGAATTTACTTTTATGCTCGCGAATTTAAAAATTCGAAAAATGTTATTAAAGGTGTATGCTTGGAGTGCTGCGCTGTACGGGTGCGAAACATAGACGGTGGGCTAAAAGCGTTCGAAATGTAGTGTTAAAGGCGAATGATGATGATACCGTGGAAAGAGAAGGTTAAAAATTAAGAGGTATTAGAAAGAATAGGAGAATAGAGGACTCTATGGAAATCAATAAGAAATAGGCGAGATAAGTTGGTAGGACACCTTCTTAAGCATGAAAGCCTAGTTAGAGACATATTATAGGCAAAAACATGAGTTAAGAGGAGTAGAGGTAGAGCTAGGTTAGATTACTGTTCGCAAATTATGAAGGATGTGGGATGTTCTAGTTTTAGGGAAATGCGAAGATTGGCTCAGGATAGGAAGGAGTGGAGATGCGTGTCTAACCAGTCTTAGGATTGGCGACCTTATGATGATAAGGAACAAGTCAGATGTAAACATCTATCGACAATGATAATGCACAGAGAAGTTACACCACGCTAAGATATTATCTACATGCTATTCCGGGTTTATTATAATAAGTTTTGGAAACGTTATTTATATATCTGTACACAATAAATATTGTGTGTCTCAGTAATCTTACCTGATACAGTCGATTTTACTAATTCTTTGAAGCAGTTCAGTTTTGTGTCTGCGGAAAACCTGTACAAATAGACGGGTTGAGACGGAGCACTTGTCTTTAATAATTTCGTCACCAGATAAACGTCTTTCGTAATTGCCACGTCAGATGAAAGCTAAAAAACACAATAACGCATAAACATTATAATTTGAACACTTTGAGCAGTATGTATTTATAAAATTAAACCAGAAATTTAAAACAAGGAGTCATCGACCTTTAGAAGTGGAATGTTTTCTTCAAATGTAAATGGGAGCAACCTTGAGATATTAACGATTTATTATAATTCATTAATAAAAATAGAATCATTAAAATCGGTTCACAATTGGCGAAGAAATCGCGTAAAGTACATATAAAAGAGAAGCAGTCTATTTGAGAACCTCCTTTTTTTAAAGTTGATTGAGAACAATGAGGGTGTGCTCTAAATACAATGATGGTGACATACTGTATAGTGATTTTGTGTGCATTCGTTTGCAGAAGGGTCTTTGTCGCCAAAATAAAATTTTCGGATTTCATTGGCCATCAACTTCGATGTTTTACTTCCCATTTTAATTCCCCAGTCGTACGGAATCGTTTCTTCCAAATTTATGAATTTGTGCGAGCTCATGATCTCTTGGAAGAACTCAAAAAATATACTCTCTTCTGATGTATATCCAAGCATCACAGGAACTTTAATAAAATTTCCTGATTTTAATAAATCCAGAGGTCTTTCCGTAATAAACGCTGTTGGATTTGGTGTTTCGACACTTGGACAATAAAATCTGGGTTTTGCAGGCACAACTTCCTGAAATAACATCATCAGTTACGGATCGTAATTTTTGAATAATTATGCACTTACATCTTTTAGAATATCTTGTACTTTTACTAGTTTTTCTGCGTCCTGCTTCCGTAGAAAGTCCAAAATTTCACGCTCATTCGAGCTTGAACATCCCAAAGTAGACGCAATTTGTTGAGCGCACTTGACTCCAATTGCCCAAAAGCTAGTTGCAGTTCCACTTAGTAATATTGTCCGGTGGAAAAGTCCTATCAACAATAATGGCAACGTTAGAAAAGCAACAGTTAACTAAACGAAAATTTTTGCCTTTTGCTGTTGGCGAAAGCATTAGAAAATTCACAGCTGCGGATCCCGCTGAGTGCCCAAAAACGGTAACGTTGTTCGGATCACCACCAAATTGAGAAATATTTTTTTGAACCCATTTCAATGCCATCACCATATCCTTTAAACCAGCGTTTCCGGGAACTTCCAAAGATTTATCTTCAAAACCGAGAAAGCCTACAAGAAAATATTAAGGTGAAATGTATCTAAATCAACCCATTGGTTTTGTTATCGCTTACCCAAAATACCTAAGCGGTAGTTAAAGGTCACAACAACAACATTTTGGGTAAGCAAATATTCCGGATTGTACATGTCGCTGTTACCAGAACCACACAAGAAGCCACCTCCATGAACCCATACCATCACAGGTTGAAGTGCTTCACTTGGGATCTTAAATCAATTTAACCACAATTAGTTGAAAAACGAAGATTGTGGAAATGTAATTTTAAAAAATAGTTTTATTTCTAGCCTTAATCCATAATGACTTAACTACACTGATGATCACGTTTTTATTTTGCTTCTATCCTTAACTTCCAGCAATAAGCATATTGTTGTCCGCAAGTGCATGGTATTACTTTATCATAAATTAAGGGTAGATAATTTATATTGGAACAAATATTTTATTAATAACTCACATTATTTGAAAATACATTTAGATATAGACAGTCTTCAGATCCTTCTAATGCTTTGGTCATAAAATTCTTCGAAAGGTTAATACTTGCTTCCTTAGTTGCATCTCGTACATTTGACCAAGGAGCAGGAGGTTCCGGAGCCTGAAAGGATAATTGACAAATTGTCTACGCTATCGACATTTATAATAATGTTTTTCCTTTAAGACTATTAATTAATGTGTCATAATGGACACGTAATAATCTAAATAATACGTGTGACCTAGAAAATGGAAAAATATTGTTGCAGCATGATTAAAAACTTATATTACTTAGTGATAAGTGTATTCGTAAATTACAATGACACTTAATTTCAAGCAAATGATGCAATTGTATGTCCGTTTATATATAATTATTAATTCAATAAGTAATTAATTTTTCGAAAGCAGTTCCATATCACACGTTAACCAGCAAAATCAACGTTGTCAGATCAGTTTATTTTTATTCATTGATTTTTTTTATCGAAATTTGATTATTTTTCTCCGTAGGTTCTTCTGACAAAATAAGATGTTCAATAAAAATATCATTTAGCGCAAAACAGGAACATCTTTCTTTCCTTTAGTTATTCATAAGTATGTAAATAAATTTTTAATGTGCAAATACCTTTTAAAAGACAAGAGTTTATTTGGCACAAAAATTAAATTATAAGTTAAGTAAAAATTCCCTTTAACTTAAGGGCAGGTAGATTCGATTAAGCTGTCGTCTGGTGAATATATCCAGTAGGAGTTATTTTCGCATATTAACTTAATACTACCAGCCGATAGTGCTCAAGTTACCACTTTGAAATAGTCTTGACCTTGCTCAAATACTTTTAATCTTGGTCTTGGTTATTAACTTATTATTAACTTGCAATTAGAAAAAGCTTTTATTAGTAGTATTATTAGATGTTCGTTTTTGTCGCACATATTAGTAATTTAGATTTTTTGTAATGCTACTTTTAGTTTTACGAATGAAAAAGCAACAAGAGTCTTTACAGTAATTTACAGATATTGTATTTACCTTGAATCTTAATTCTCCAAGAGGAGGTTTCGCGTATGGAATTCCTTGAAAACTAAAATATTTGTTCCCATCGTAGTCAACACCTTCCCGACCCTGTAGAAGTCCTTGTTCAGTTTTAGTAATCATCTTACACTGCCATGTATGTAGAAACGTAACCAACTAGATAGAAAGTGCAACAAATAATGATATAACTCAATTTATATACTTATTTACTGGTATAATTTACCGTATCTGCGCACAATCCTCCTTTACCGATAAAAATATCAGACTACAACCTTTCATGCTTAATACGACAGGCATACATAAGTATTTACCACATTTTTGGATATAAAATTGCTCTAAATATGTATTGTTTGTTAAAACAGTGAAGCTGTGATTTATTTTGTTTTTACTTTGTTATAGAAGCTAAATAAATAATACATATACTGATATATCTATGTACATAATAAGAACTTTGGCCTATTCCACATTTGTTTTTTATTCCTTTTGTACTCTTCAAAGGGCGATAGGGATTGATAATACCCGCCGCTATTATAATGCTTCAGAATTTTTGTTTAACGGAGAAAACTAAATTTTCATGGGAACGCAAAAATTACAATTTTCGATTGTAAATGACTGAATTTGCCGTAGAAATCGTATAATTTATTAGGTAATTTATACTAATGGCAATTTTAGCTCAGAATAGGAAAGAGTGGAGGTACGTGTCCAACCAGTCTTAGGACTGATGACCTTATGATGATGAATTGATGTTAAATAAACATTAAGTGTAATACACCCACAGTAAAATAACTGCCCAGATATAACCAAAATATTAATTTAGCACTATAGTATAGTGAATATACAGTATACTATAATATATGAGATGCCGGTCACTAACAGCTGACTGTAATACCGATATGCGCATGCGCGCCTTTCTTTTCTTTTCGTTTCATGGCCTTGAGATTGTACTTTCATCGAGCCCAAAGTTTCACTTCAAAAATACAAAATAATCCTGTTCTTACAGGCAACTAAATACAACAAATTATATACAGGGTGTCCCAGTTATAATAATTAAAAAAAAAACATGGCTTATTCCTGACACAAAATACAACAAAAAAGTAATATACAATTTTTCAATCCAGTGACAATTGAACTCGCAAATCGTCTTTGTAAATTTGAACGTACAATTTGTTTCATTACGGGCCTGGATCTAGGCGACTAACGTCGCTCAGCTGATCTAGTGTGGATGTAACAAGTACCTACCGGGAAGAAGCCGAATGCACTTCCACCTTGTAAAAAAAAGGTAAAAGTGAAAAAGAAATGCGTACCTTTT